AAATTTGTACTAACCAAAAATGGGATGTATGTGGGAAAAGGTTACATGAGTGACGGGTTGTTTAAGATAAATGTAATGACTGTTGTGCCTACAATTAATAATAAGACTACATTTTCTTTTTATTTGCTTGAGTTTTCATATTATGTTATGGTAAATTAGGACATATTAATTAGAATAATGCTATATGTACCAATTAATGTACACACTAGTGTACTAACAGATGATGTGGCATCATTTATATGGTTTTGGATATTTGTAACTTCTATAATAAATGTGGTCAATAATAATATCATAATACTAGTTGGTACACTAGTGTGTACACTAATTGGTGCATACAGCACCACCGTGTTAATTATGGATCTATTTGTAAACCAATTAATATGGAATGGTTACCGAAGTTTGAATTAAAACCAAGTCATAAATGTGAAATTTATGCGGAAGTTAAGTTAACTAGAACTCGGCTCAATTCAATTGAAAAAAGTACAAAATCACTTGGACTAGTTCATAGTGGCATTTGTGATTTTAAATCAATTCAAACTAGTAGTGTGAAAAATACTTTATCACTTTTATAGATGACTATACTATATATAGTCATATTTATTTAATTCGAACTAAGGATGAAACTTTGGAAACATTCATTCAATATAAGAATGAAGCTGAAAATTAACTTGGTAAGAAAATTAAAAACCTAAGAAGTGATAGAAGTGGTGAATATGAATTACCTTTAGGTGAGTTTTGTAAAGAACATGGAATAATTCATCAAACTACCGCTCCTTACTCACTCAGCAAAATAGAATTGTTGAAAAAGAAAAATAGAACTTTAAAAGAAATGATGAATGACGTGTTAATTACCTCAGAACTTGTGGGGGAAAGTAATGCTTTCTACTAATTATATTCTTAACCCCGAAAGAAAGTGAATGAAACACCTTATGAAATGTGGCATGAGAGAGTACCATCCTACAAATACTTAAAAGTGTGAGGGTGTTTGGTTGAAGTAGCTATTCCTAGTCCTAAAAGAATTAAGATAGGTCCTAAAACTGTTGATTGCATATTCATTGGTTATGCCATGAATAGTAGTGCATATTAGTTTTTGATTCATAAGTCAAAATATTTCGAAATGCATGTAAATACTATTATTAAATCTTGGAATGCATCATTCTTTGAACATGTGTTTCTTAATAAAACTGGACAAGAGACTAGTACTAATAAAAGATCTTATGATGTTATTACTAGTCATGATCAAGAACAAGATAAAAAACAAGAGCAAAAGTTAGATCAAAATGAGAAAGAGGAACCTAGGCGTAGTAAACGTGTTAGAACCTCAAAATCTTTTGGTCTAGATTTCCTAACTTTTTTGTTAGAAAATGAGTTTTTAACTTTTAAAGAAGTTATGTCCAGTCCTAAGGCTTCTTTATGGAAAGAGGCTATAAATAACAAAGTTGAATCCATCTTGTAAATCACACTTGGGAATTGGTGGATTTGCCACCAAGTTGTAAACGTCTTGGACACAAATGGTTTTTTAAGAGGAAAAATGAAAGCAAATGGATCAATTGACAAATATAAGGCAAGACTTGTGATCAAAGGATATAGACATAAAGAAGGTTTTGATTACTTTGACACATAATCACGGGTTACCAAAATAACATCCATTAGAATGCTAATTGCCATTGCATCTTTGTATAATTTAGAAATTCATCAAATGACTGTGAAAACTGCTTTCTTAAATAGTGAGTTAAATGAAAAAATTTACATGAAATAATCAGAAGGATTTTCTATTCCAAGAAAAGAAAAGAAAGTGAGTAAATTAGTTAAATCATTATGGCTTCGTTTGAGAAGTGGGTTAGTTTTTTGGCTTTTTAGCTTTTTTGGCTATTTTAGGCTGAGCTAAAAAGCTTGGTTTGGGAAGGGCTTTTTGGTTTTTTTGGCTTTTTTTTTTTTTTTTGTGAGAGAAGAGTATAATAATTATAGGTTTGGTGTGATGTTTTGTTTGTTGTGACTAAAATAACTTATTTTGTCTTTTGTGGCTAAAATAGCCAAAAAAAACCCATAAACCATATTCCCAAACGGAGGCACATATGGTTTAAAACAAGCGTCAAAGCAATGGCATGAGAAATTTGACAAGACAATGATGTCAAATGGATTAAAATTAATGAATGTGACAAATGTGTTTCTATTAAAAACACAAACAAAGGTTAAGTTATAGTTTCTCTTTATGTGGATGATATGTTCATTATAGATAGTGATAATGACATGATTAAAACTACTAACAAAATGTTGAATAAACATTTTGGCATGAAAGACATGGAGATTGCTGATGTAATTCTTGGTATGAAAATTACTAAAACTTCTGAAGGATATGCTTTGTCACAATCACATTACATTGAGAAAATACTTGACAAATTTAGCAAATATGAATATCATCTTGCTAGAACACCTGTGGATGTTAATTTGTTTCTTTCTAAAAATATACAGGAAAGTATTTCTCAATTAGAGTATGCCCAAATTATTAGAAGCTTAATGTACTTGATGAACTGCACTCCCCTAGATATAGCCTATGTAGTAAGTAAATTAAGTAGATATATGAGTAATCCATGAGTAGAACACTAGAAAACTATTATAAGGGTTCTAAGATATCTCAGATTTACTCGTAATATTGGGCTAAGTTATACTAGATATCTAGCAGTACTTGAAGGATATTATGATGCAAACTGAATATCGGATACTAGAGACTCAAAATCCACAATTGGTTATGTCTTTACTCTTGGTGATGCGGCTGTATTTTGGAAATCTTCCAAACAGACTTGCATTGTTTGGTCTACTATGGAATCAGAGTTTATAGCTTTATTTAAAACTAGGGAAGAAGCAGAATGGCTTTGTCAGTTCCTTGAAGATATTCCAATGTGGCTAAAACCGGTGCCGGCTATATGCATATATTATGATAGTTAATCAACAATTGGTAAGTACAGAGTCATATGTATAATAGTAAGTCGCGACACATTCGTCGTCGACATAACATTGTGAAACAACTACTCTCTAATAGAGTTATTTCTATTGAATATGTGAAGTCTAAAGCCAACATAGCGGATCCACTAACCAAAGGGTTAGCAAGAGAGTTAGTTGAGAATTCATCGAGTGGAATGAGACTTAAGCCTATTAAATAAAGAGTTACCACAGCGGCAACTTAACCTAGTTGACTAGAGTTCCTAAGATCTATGTTCAAAGGGACAACCGAGTTGTGTATGACTCATAAGGATCACTAGGGAGTAAAACTCCTACCCATTTCTATGATAAAATAGCGATGTCTGCAGTGTTTTAGGTTAAGTAATACTTTTAATGATTCTTATGTTTAAGAATACCTAATGGAGTATGGCAGTATACTCTTCATAAGAATCGCCTATATAAGTATGGATTAGGTTGGTTCTATGAGATTTGTGAAAGGCTACAATTTTCTAAAGTACTCATGAAATTCAGGGCCAAAATGAACACAATAGTGAGAACTAAACTGTGTCTAGTAATATATTGTGTGAGTTCTATTGTCTTGGTTTATACTAATGGTTGAGCAGTTCAAGACATCATGTTCACTGATTAGTTAATAAATCTAATAGTATCTCACAAGGGTAGGTTCAAAGCCAAAAACTATCTATCCTTTGTAGAATATTTTCGATTTCTATAGTCTCTATATTAAGATTATGTTGTTGCATTTTCTCTTCGTCAATTTCATTCATGTGGGGGATTGTTGAAAAAAAATGGGTTTTCACCAATATTTTTGGTGAACATTGGAGCCAAATTTAAGTGAGTTACACTTAATAAATACCGGCAATCCAAGGGGCAAAGTTGTTTATGTCCATGTGGAGACATTGGTTTGGTGAAAACCATTTTCATGTGAATTGGAAATTGCCTCCAAAGTGAGCCTTGTGGAAATGGCTTATATAGGTGGGTTTTTTCAATTTTGCTAATTTCTCTTGTCCCACATAGGAAAAAATGGTCGCAGGTGCAAGAATAAAATAATATTATATATATTATTTGGAAATTTATTTAATTTTTAATTAAATAATTTTCAGGAAGTTGGTTTCCCTTCGTTACTGTTTTCCTTCAAACAGATGTGTCTTTTTGAATTCAAATTGAACAGATAGCATGCATGTTCCAACAGTTCTCTTCTATGTCCATTTAAAGACATTTACTCTCCAGAATTAAATATTGAAAAAGGAAAAACAAATTCGGATTTCCTTCTCTCCATTCTACATTTTTTCCTGCATGCATTTAGTCTTAGTAAATCAGAGAGAGTTCAAAACATAGGTTTGGTTCAGTGTTTAGAGTGATTGTAGCGTTGCTTCACACTGAGAAAATCATTGTATTCTGCGAGATAAACACTCAAGAAGGTCATAAGCACCACTGCAACGGGCGAATCTGTCTTATGAACAGAGTGTCACACACTCGACTTGGTCTAATTGTTTAGTCGTATTTATTTTGATTGTTCTGTAAGTAAAGCATTTATTTTGTTTACTGTGCCGTTTATTTTTTGCTAAACACAGAAAACATTTCTAACACCAGGTACAAACACTACAGTGCAACTAACAAATTACATGATCTCTTATATAACATTGACTTAGAAAACAAACACAAAAACAATATTTTGCCAACTAAATATTTTATCTCTAAAACCTTAATTTGTTGTAATGTAGCTTTTCCACACTGACATGTGATTATTTAAATGAGAGAATTACAATTTAGTGTAATAGACCAAAACTATCTATTACACAAAATTGTAATTCCCATATTTAAATTGCACAATTTTGATAATCAATGGACTGTTGGATATTGACAAACCGACTCGTCTCAACCTTTATATTTTATTTTCAACTATGTCTTCGGATTCTTAATATTTTTGGCGCATTTCATATTCTCCATCATTCAAACTTAAGTTGACACAACAATTATCTCATAGAGTTTATTAAGGGAAAATAAAAGCCAATAAATTTGTAAAATATAATGATATTTTCTTAGCAAATAACATATAACATGAGCTCTCCTGCTAGCTGATCAAACAACACTGACCCTGCAAACAAGAATAAGATCAAATGAGAATGGACTCTTATTCCTATATCTCTCTATAACCATAAATGGTAGAGTACTAGTAGGAAGTAATCACTCAGAAGAAATGATGAGGAGGTGGTGCAGATTTGTGGGGTGGCATGTGAGGACCATGCCCATGTCCATGTCCATGTGGCTTCTCTGACGGAGTTGAAGCCGGAGGCATCACCTTCTGCGGTGGCTTGTGAGGGTATTCGCCATGCTCCACCGGAGGATGTGCAACGTGGTGACCATGGTGGTGGTGACCATGATGAGTTGGTGGCTTCTCTCCCTTGGGAGGTTGAGCAATTGGGGTTGGAGCCATGTGCTCATGAGGATGTGGCTTCATGTAATCACCAAGGGAAGGAGTGATGAGAACCACCACTGCAAGTAACAGCACTAGCAAGCTCTTGGAAGACATTTTTTTTGAGTTTGATAACTAAGTGGAATACTTGGTGCCATATAGGTGAAATGGGGTGGCCTTTTATAATGATCAGGAGCCATTGTTGGTGTGACACGTGTCACCATACAAATTATGATTTAAAGAAAAAATCACCTGTGAAATCATTTTTGCAATTAAGAGTCTTGGTTCTTTTTTTATAATCGTTAACGGTAAACTCATCTCACATTGTTTGTCTATACCACTCAAACTTGGTTAATATATTCGTGAAATCCTTCCACTCATTAATGAGTTGGATGCCTTGACATGCTATATCAGAGCTAAATCTTGAGATTTTCTCTAGTGGGTTCAAGTCTCTACCCAAGTCTAGTCTGTCATAGATCCCTTGGGCTAATCCTTAGTCTTAATTAAGAGTCACTAGTTCCTAATTTTAATTAAGATTCATTATGATGGGTGCTCTGTTTTAAAATTAAACATACTAATTCCCTCAAAAACTATTTATAATTTGTTTATTTGTATAGTATTAGTCTTTTTCTAATTTGGCTTGGATAAAAAGGACCTTGAATGTGAAATTAGAGTAGTGTGTTTTGTTGAGAAATCAATTTGATATAGGTTTCTCATCAGTTGAAATTTTTGACAATTTGATCAAACATTTGTTTTCTTAGCAACAAAACTGAAGTTTTGGTACTAAGGGAATGGCCACTGATTGATGCGTAATTGCGAGACGCTGTAGGAAAAACAGACCATCATATTGATTGCATTTCAAATAAAGCATACATAGGATTGTTGTTGTTGTTTTTGTTTTTGTTTTTGTTTTTGTTGTTCTCGTTGTCGTCATCTCCACGTCAGCTCCAGTTGAATTGACTAATACTAGGGATACTTTATAATCATAATTTGAATGTAAAGTTATATTTTGAAAGAATAATATTTTAAATGAGTTTTGAAAAAAAAAAATATTATTTGCCTATGAGTTTGGAAAATTTTTTTGAGTTTTGTGTTTTATTTTGAAATTATTTTGGATTTTTCTTTTAATTTTATTTTTTTAGGGTAAATATTGTTTTTTAAGCTGTGTTGTATTTACTACATTTGTGGGTTGTATTTTCTTAAATATTTTAATTATTATTTTAAAATTTTAAAAAAAAAAATTTAAAATTTTTTTTATTTTAAATATTTTATTTTATTTTTTAAATATTTGTATACATTTTTTAATTTTTTAATATATATATATATATATATTATTAATTAAAAAAAATAATTTGGATCACTATATATATCTAAATTATAACAAATTATTTGGCCAATACTTACAAAAATAACAAAATATTTTTTCAAAAAAATAAACTTAATAAAAAAAATAGTTTTCTTCAAAAATAAAAACTAATAATAATAATTTTAAAGAAAAAAATAAAGAAATATTTTTTTTGATTTTTTTTTTTAAAATAGAGTTTTAAAAAGAGTTTGGTTATGAGCTTTAAAAATAATTTTTGAAAAGAGTTTTGAATTGAGTATTTAGTTATAAATTTTGAAAAGAATTTAAATTTTTTTTTATTGGAATCAGGATTCTAAAACTTAACCAAATGCTACCTAATGTATCATCAGAATTTCTAGAAATTTTGATAATACATTTAATGTGTCTAGCAATTTTTAGATGAATTTCAGTTCCTCTCAAATCATGGATTAACATTTGTTGTTTTCCATTTGCGATGGAGTGATGAGTAGAGCTATGGTTATCAGTTGTGTTATGAACATAAATTTTTTTTTTTACATAATTAGATAGATGCAAGACGAAGTGTGGATTCTCACATAGATGCAATTTAGCAATCAAAGAAACTAATAAGAAGGTAAGAAATCTATCCCTCTTCCATGTTTTGTTATCAAAACCTAGCTAGGTAATCAATTGAACTAAGTTTTGAAAGAATTTAAGTGAAGAAAAATGAAAAAGTTAGCCACTCCTGCCTTCCAAACTGATGTCAAAGTGGACCGCAGCGCATCCATATTAAATGGGCGCATGGGGAGAAGTTTACCCACCAAACAAAGCCCTGCCTTCACCGCAGTGGATTGAATATGAACCTCATCCACTACCACCTCTGCTTCCTCCTCCTCTGTCAAGACAAGCCGTCGGGCCAAGTCATCGATGGAGTCCACCATTAACAACCCACCAGAGAAACAAAAAGATATGCAAACCTACTAAAAAACACCACCCACTAAAGGGGAACTAGCCTTGTGCAGGACAAGAGAGAAACTCCTACCAGAGAGGAGAGCTTCTATATTTCAGATTTATTTTCTCACATTAATTATCTTTCACAAAAATTGGTTTTTAAGAGAGGGAAAAAAAAAACACTTCCAAAAACTGGATTTTAGTATCATATGCAAATTATTCACAGAATTCACCTAATTCATTATGACTTTGTTTTTTCATTTGATTCTGGAGTTTAAGGTCATTGCATAAAGCAAGGCCTTCTTCAGTGACAATTCTTATGAGTTGTCCATAAGTGTATTCAGAATAAGGAATAGACATTTTACTATGCTTATCCCTTAATTTTTTTTCTAATTCTTTCAGCAAAGAGGGTAGAAAGACCATCAATAAACTTGGCTTTCCAATGTTCACTATTAGCGTCGGATCGTCTTACTACTCTCATTATAAACACATCTTTATACCATCTGAAATGAGATAAAGATGGACATCTTAAATTCTGTAATAGTTCTCTACTCCGATCTTCTAAACCATCAGGAGAAGCTCCTACAAAATGGTGTAGAATAGTATTGATAAGAGTATAAACTGCATCTTGTTCAGATTAAACAGTATTAGTTAAAGGGTCGGTAACTCGTTTAAAAGCAGTAAGAATTTCTACTTGTTGGGCGTCGGTAATAATATTATCCCACCATCCTTTAAGGATGCCAGTAAAACCATTTACCAAGAATCGAGCGATCTCATGGTCGTCATTCTCATTTTGTTTGCAAATTGTGGAATACATGATCATTTGATGTAATACTTCAAAGATCTGATATTCTGAAAGATCATCTATGTTCCATTCATAGATAGTTTTTCCATGATAAGATTTTTGATTTTGTAAAAAATCTTCTTCATAAAGAATATCCATAGGAGTGCTCTGAGGATAAAAGTGCCATGTTGGAGCAGTCCTAGAATCATGAGAAGAATTGCCACTATAAACTTTATTTATGTGGGTTGGTATATTTTGGAATCCATTTTCAATTTCTGAAATTTGGGCAAAAGTTAACTTTTCTTCATCTGAAATGTTTTGTCTGGATAACATATTAATCGAAGCAGTGGATTCTCCAATTTTAAGATTGTGAATCTTAGCAACTAGAGTATCCATAAATTCTGTATCCTTTTTCGTAGAAGATAACTTGAATTTAGTTACTTCTTGAAAAATCTTAGAAATCCCCTAGATGTTGATTTGTGATTATGTATCAATTTTAAGCAGAATATAACAATCCCAATCAAACAATCAAGACAAAGAGACACAACGATTTTACGTGGAAAAAACCACAATTGGACACCTCCAACTGTGATAAAAAAACCACGGGCAACAGCCACAAAACAATCCACTAAGAAGATTTAAAGGAATTACACAGGTATACTCTCAATTACCTAGCGAATTCACGCCTAATTGAACCAACCTTTATGTGTCTCTTCCAACCCGTCTTCACCTCGGAATTGTTTTTACGATGAGCCACCCCGGAATCCACCAAAGCTTCAGGCTCGAATTCTTCAGAATCCACCGAAGAACAACTCTCTCTTTTGTAGAACAAAACACAACCTTTGATGTACTCTCTTTAAACCATGAGTTGAATACTCAATAAAACATCAAAGAAAACTCACAAAGTATCCCCAGATATAAACCCTAGAAACCAAAAAGAAGATCTGGAGTAGTCCCCCTAGTGTTGGGAGAAAACCAACTATTTATAGAAAACCAAAGCAATCCTAATTTCAGAAGAAAACCAACTCTTTAATCAAATCTGGAAATCTGGGATCGCGCGGTCCGCTCGAGCGTGGGTCTTCCCGCTCGAGCGGAGACTTCAAATTCTGTGATTTCATACAGGCTCCACGCTCGAGCGTCGGTTTTGACGCTCGAGCGTCAAATCACACCATCCAGTACTTTTTCAGGCATTGTAGAGATACTGTGAGCTTGCAAACCCCGCTCGAGCGCCCGTTTCCCCGCTCGAGCGGGCAGGCCAAAACTGGAAAAACTGGAAAAATATAACAGCTCGATCCCCGTCATAATCAGCGAAGTGGCAATCTTGAAAATATTTGCATCACAAACTTCTCTGAAAGGCTCAATTCGGGTTGGATTCGCATCTAAACACTCATAGCTTCACTGAAATAAATGTGCGAAAATAAATACAACTGAAAGGAGTTTTGTCAAACGGGATTGCCAAGAAATAAAACCTAACACTTCTAAAGGAGGTTTAATTGTTACTGGAATAACTTCAGATTTTGTTTCAGTTTTTGGCTGGAGATGACAACTGTCTTTTATGTGATTAACAGTTTCTTCTATCCTGGTCATTTGTTTTCCTAGGGTCTGGAAAAACAGATTAGTATAATTATGCTGTTTCATTATCGGGACCAGATCTTGAACAAGGACTGGATCCTTATTTTGAGATCTATGGGGCATTTCCATATAAGCAGCCGTAAAACAATGGTTTTGTACCAGTTTCGCTACTTGTAGGCAATAACTCCAGAGGTTTTGTGGGTGAATGGATAGACACAATACTCTGACCATCTGTGCTTACCCATGTTCGCTGGATTTTGTCAAGAATATTGACCTGAGATTCTAAAGGGATGATATGTTGAACATACCATTGGGGAAAAGATTGAATTATTTGGTGTTGTTCCAAATATTCATAATACTGGATTTTATACTGTTTCAATTGAGTAGGAGAATGAGTCTTAAAATACCATTCCCTAAATGTTCTGTATTCTTCTTTCTGTAAGTCCTTATTAAGGGCTATTCTAATGGTACTTCCTGGTTTAAAATCCATTAGATTTCAAAATTCAT